TTACAGACACACTGATGCCTGCTCTAATAATACTTCGCTCTGCATAGCTCAGATGCAGACACCTCTCGGCTAAACAGGGCACACACATTTCAACAGAGGAGGGCTTGAACTTGTACTACCCAAGCATATCTCAGCAAAGGAGCACTCCCAGAGCCCAAGTGGAAGGCCTAGGGCGGTGACAGGGCAGCGCTGGGTGGAGGGGGCTCAGGCCGCCAATTCCTGTCATTCCAAAGGTCCCATAAAAAGAAGCGCACTCATTCTTCACTTCTCTGTGAAACTGGAGCCCTCCTCCTCCCCACAATTGCACCACAATTCCCCGCTGAGGATCAAGGGACTTTGGTTCCTTCTGCCCAGAGCAGCCCACAGTCTCCTGGAAGTCGGAAACAATCAATGCACACAAACTAGAACTCTGCAAACAAGTAGAAGCTGGGAGCCTCTGAGGGGAGGATGGGGGTGCTGGTCTCTTCTGGGTGGCCAAGCCTCTGGCCCGGCCTGGCAACAGGGGTCATAGTGAGGTCCTCTTCCTAAAATATGTGATAGCAATCCCGATAGCTGAGACCCAGAGGAGGACGCAGTAGGGAAAAGAGCTGAGGACAGTGGAGACGGGGCCAGTGAGAGAGAGAAAAGGCAGCGCTAACCTCCTCGGGAAGGAATCTTGGGATGAGGGTGAGGAAGCATGAGGAAGGTCCCTGGGGTGGTCACAGCCAGCTCTCTCACTGCACAGAGGGGAACAGGCTGGAGGAGGTGAGGCCCGGTGCCCCACCAGCTCAGGCCCTGAGTCCTCCGCATCACTCAGCCTAGTTCCTGACAGGTAGCCTTTGATTGGTTTATAGTGTCTGGAGCACAGACAACCTAAGTGACAATGGTAGGACAGTCGTGGTGTTTCTGAGCTATCTCCCGAGTGGTGATGCTCAACGTGGACTGTACCCGTGGAGTTCTTCATAAAACGCTAAAGTAGGCCCTACTGATGAAGAACCTATTTTGACTGATTTCAGGGAAGGACATCCGGGCCAGTTATTTTAAAAGCTTTTCATGTGACTGTAGTGGACGGTGGCTGAGAACCACTGACCTAAAGATGGCCTGGAGTCTGAAAGGCAATATTCTCAGAATGGCTCCTCACAGTCACATTGGAAGGAGACTGTAGCTCGGTGTGTCTTTGTATGAAACCAACTTACCACCGGTAAGCCGTCGGTCCCCCAATACTTTGCTACTCAGAGTGTGGTCAGTGGCCCTGAAATACCTATGAGCTTGTTAGAAATGACCCATCCCACATCTGTGTCAGAATCTGCATTTTCACAGCACCCTATGTTCATATGTTTAAATTTGACTATACATTTGGCATATAAAAGATGTTTAAGGGATGCCCATTTACTAAATAGAATTCTATTTACAAAGATAGTATTAAGAAAAAGTCCACATCGAAAGCAAGAGAGTCAGTCTGGGTGTAAACACTGGAGACTCTTTGAGCCCTAGGACTGGTGTCAGGGGTCCACTGGGACCCCAGGGTCTCAGGCCCTATCATGGTTCAGGAGGGCAGTATTTCTGGGTTCCTAGAGATGGTGATGGTGAATCTCACTGGGATCAAAGGACCTTTGACCTCCTTCCATACCCCATGTCCCACTCCACAGGGCTGCGCCCCAACTTGGCAGGCAGTCAGTCCTAAGGCCTGTGCTGAATGGAACCTGTCCCATCAGAGACTGCCCCCTCCCCTCCACACTGCCGGCTCCCATCACCAAAGCCGAGGTAGCGAGAACAGTCAACCCAGGAGGGTTGTGTCCAAAGACAGTTGCTGGGAGCAGCGCTCACGGGCACTTCACACCCGGCCCTCTTTGCAGCCAGTGTCACTAAGCTGGGTCTCAGAACTTGCATCCACATGGAGGTGGCAGCCAAAACTGGCCACATGAGGGGCATCCCAGGGCTTGCTGAGCAGAACCAGGGCTGGCTGGGGGTTAGGGTCGAGTGGGTGCCAAAGGACTGGACTGAACAAAAGCCTCGGAGAGAGAGGGGAGGGAAGTTTGCAATGGGCCAGGCCTAGTACTGTCTGCTAGGAGAAGGCTGAGTATGAGGTTGTCAGAACATGAGAAGCGGGAAAAGAAGACCCCCCTGAGGATGTTAAGAGGGAAGTGGTTGATGTGCTGTGCCTACTGCTGTATTTCCCAGACCTCTCAGGTTTGGGCAGTGAGTGACCAGGCCGAGGGTACCCAGAAAGCTCTGCAGGGAGGGGTGCAGGGCCAAGGGGGGGGCAGGTGTCCAATCTGGCTTCTTTTGGGCTACTTGAACAAGGGCTCAAGGTAGCCTTATTCTACATAGCCAAAGGCTGCTTGTGGCAGCTAGGAGGGCCTTGACCGGTGACCCAGAGGCTCAGTGGGTAAATCAGGTTTCTAGTCACTGCCTTGGAGGAGCCCCTCCTTGGCTCATGTGAAAGACGGGCTGTGGACTCTCTCTCATCCCCAGAATCCTCAGCCTTGAGCTGATGCTGAGCATTTGTGGCTGTAGCACAGCATGGGCTGGAACAGAGGGTGGGGGCTTCAGGAGTCAGAATGGGCTTGTAGAACTGTGGAACACCTCCATCTGAGGCGTGAGTGTGGGCTGCCCTGCCAAAGGGCTGGATATGTAGGGTGAGAGGGGGAGCAAACTCTACATGGGGCATAAGAGAGTCTGTCCTCACAGGGTGCGGCTGGAGGGATGGCAGTGGGAGCAGGGGCAGGACATGGCAGAGCCAGCTCTCTGTGCTGGACACAAGACAACATTAGTAGGCGGGCCTCTGGGGCTGGCTGCAAATCCCATATCATCCAGGAAAGAACTGCTGCCCAGTCATATACAGGGTACGGTTGTTTAGAAGGATGAGTTGGCCAGGAGTGCTTCAGCTAGCAGCAAGAAGCATGAAAAGAAGAGGCTCACTTGTGCTCCCACCCAAGGTCCCAACTCCTCCCCAGCAGACAGGGGCCAGGCTTCAACTGCTGCTGCCTGAGCCTGGACCAGCACCTGGTCCCAGCTTTCCGTTCAGTGCTACCCTGCCCAGTGTTTGCTTAGCTGCGTCTCGGCACAGTCACTACACTATAAGCTGTTGGCTGGAGGTATGAGCAGGACCACACTGAGGCAAACATAGTTCAGTAAGTTTCTACCTAGCAGGGAATGTGGCCAGCCAGTGCACTGTGTGGCTGATCAGGAGGCAGGTTCAAGGATCCCTGGGCCCCTTTTGTGGCCAGGCATTTCCCAGGCATGGCGCTTGGCTGGACATTTGTGAGCAGGGTTGACTAGCACACATGCCTGATCTGGGGTGACTCCTGTAACCGTCTTCCCTGGTTGCTCCTGATTCTAGGTGTCTGTCTGCCATAGGGGCTGGCTGGGCTACTTGGAGTTGGCAGCCACAGTCTAGAATTCTTGCACCATTCTGCCACTTAAGTGAAAAAAAAAAAAAAAAAGACTAAACCCAAGTCCAAGGCCAACTCCTGTCCCTGACTCCCCCATGCTTGGAAGAACATGGCAGACAAGCCTCTCCCTGCCCATCAGCCTCTACGCTCTCCCAGGACATTCCGGCCCACGAGGAACATGCCCGATGTGCAAATCCCTCAGGTAATGCAGGAATTCATCACCAGGGGAGCGTGGGCGATCCAGGAATGGGAACCTGATCAGGGGCTGGATCTGGAAAGAAGCAGCCTGGGCCGGCTAGGCAGGGCTCAGGTTGCACTGAGTGAGACACACATGGAGGGGGAGAGGACAGGCAGGCATGGGTGGCACAGTCACCGGCAGATGGCCCACAGCGACCTCCTCCTCCTCCTCCAGCAACCTCCTCCTCCTCCTCCTCCTCCTCCAACAACCTCCTCCTCCTTCTCCTCCTCCTCCTCCTCCTCCTCCTCCTCTTTCTCCCACTTTTAGGGAAGAGACAACAAACTCTGAGCTGAGCGCTGAAATGAGGGTGACCATAGCCTTTGTTTGGCTGTTGTCTAGGTGTAATTCCGAAGGGAGCCCCTTTGGCTACCAGATGTGCAGCACTCTGAACAATCTGCTACCTGGTCATCCTATTAACACCCACCTGCATGTAGTTCCTTTAGCTCTGTTATCTATTTTCACAAATTCCAAGTGACCTTTTTCCCTGATCTGGACCAGCAACTCCACATACATCTTCACTAGTTTCTCAACCACAGAGTAGCAGGAGAGATGGCTCTTGCCCAGCACAGTCTCATGGGTGGCTTGCGGACCTGCTGTGGGTACACAGCCACGTTCCTTGCCATTTCTCCTTGATGCCACCCACTCTGAGGCCACCAGTTTATGTATAGCTGCCCATAACAAGACACGAGGTACTTGTGAGAAGAGACAGTGCTGGGCTCAGCCTAAGCACACACACACATATCCTCTGTGCACTCCCATGAGCCCACAGTTGCACGCTGGCCCCATGGCAGCAGAAAGGAGAAGGACTGGGGCTCAACTCACTGGAGTGATTGCTTAGTCATGGAAGGTACCAAGGAGCAAGACAGTCTTTGACTTCTATGTTTGCCCTCTGCCCAAGCCTTCAGTATCTCAGCAGACAGACCATCCTATACCTAAAGACAGAGCTTTGCTCAAACTCATCTCAGTCTTAGCTATAGCAAATGCACAGCCACCAAGTTCTGAGGGCTGGCACTAGAAGGGAGGAAGAGGAAGAGAGAGGTACTTGAACAACAGGCTCATGTGTGCTCAGATGTGCAGAGGTTGAAGCCCAGAGCCAACAACAACCCCCCTTATCATGAAAATAGAAACAGGGAAAGGCTGGTTAAACAAAAAGCACCTATAAAATTATATTGGTCCTTTGTAACCATGGTGCACTCACACAAACACACAAATCCAGCTACTTGCCCCTCACCCCTTGAATGCTTTCTGATTTTCTAGAATTAATTGGGCAAGGGAGGAAGAAGCTCAGGACAAGTTCAGCAGTGGTCAGAACTTGCAGCCCTCCCCTCTAGCAATAACCACCATGCAGGGACAGCAAGCATGGGCAGCAGCTGTTGGTGTCTGGTTACCTGCAGCATGTTGAGGAGTAGGCTCCGGAACTTGGTTCCCTCCACCATGAAGAGTGCCATCTTGTCACAGAGCTTGGCAGCTGTGAAGGCAAAGCTCCGATCTGACACGGCCTTCTGGTAGATGGTCCGCACGATCTCACCCAGCATCTCCTCAGAGTTGGTAGAGTTCTGGGCCTCCTCCATGAAGCTGGTGAGCTTGGCATCCACGTCGCTGCTGTTATTCCGCATGCTGTTCAGGATCTCGATCAGCTTGTCCATCTTGTTCTGCTGAGGATGGGTTGCCTCCACCATCACTTCTTCCTGGGGGTGTGGGGGACAAACCAGGCATGGCTGAGTACAGCTGGGATGTCTGGGTGTCCAGGTGGCCTGGGGGAGGACAGCTGCCTCCCCCAGAAAGAAGGGTCTGAAATCTGCTTCCCCCACCAGAGACACTCATGCTCCTCAGGCTGACTTTTTTCTTGGCCGCTGTGATGTCCTGGGTTGACATTTCTTGTGAGCTCTAGCTCCTGCACAGGATTCTCATTGACTTCTTAAATTTGTCTACGCGTTGATTAGATGTCTTAACCTAGCACTGATTTAATAGGGCTTATTAAAGATGAAATAAGATAACAAATAAGAAATTGGGCCAAATGGAAGATAATGATAGGAAAACCAGGCCAACAAGGTGAGTAGAACCAAAATGCCTTCGATGTTGGTTAGAGGCAGCTGGAAGTGGCCACTGCGTAGCTTCCACATCATCTGTTCTCTGGGCCTAAGATTCCACAAGCACAGTCCTGGCTTTACCTCTTACGGAGACTGTGCTATCCCTCTACACTCAAGGACTATAGAATCTTGTAAGGTGCTACTTGAGTGGCTAAGGCTCTAGGAGGGAGATTTCAGGAAATAAACCTACATCCCTGTGAAGTTTCACAGTACCTGGGACCAGGCCAAGGGCTGGAAAGGAAGAAAATGGCATTTAGCTGTCTCAGAAATAGGTATTCAAACACAACAAATTGGTGGCCAAGAATCTGACCGACTTGATGCTGGGATACGAGATCTGGTTGAGGGCCGGGTCAAGGGCACATGATTAGGTACTCCCACCGCTGCCCTGTGTTCTCAACACCAGCCCTCTGGGCGGAGAGGTATAGAATGTGGCCCCATGTCCTGCTGTCTGGTTCCAGCCATGTGTACTGGGTAGGCAGCTTCCCCCTGAGGCTGTTTACATGGAGTAACAGGGTGATGTTAGAGGTGATCTGGAGCTTTCCTTGAGTTCTACCACTTGGAGTCAAGTTCCAAGGGCAGCTCATGTCCACTGGAGACGGAATTGCATGTGAGGGTAGATTTCTGGGAGGTGCTCCTTCCCCTCCAGCCTCTCCAGTCCATCTGACTGCTCTGCTCCCTGGATGGACCGTTCTCATGGGTCCCTAGCCTTAGCAGTGTCTGCAAAGGAGGATAGGAGACTTCTTGATGAGATCCTTGCTTAGGAAGGGACTGCCTGGGAGAAAGCTCAGTGGCGTAAGTGCCTGCCTAGCAAGAACAAGGTCCTGAGTTTGATCCCTGATTAAAAAAAAAAAAAGAAGGGACTAGAGGCTCATTTGTTGCAGGGTTTGCCCATTTGGGGTGGCCAGCCAGCAAGAGAGGAAATGATCCAGGATGAGCGTAAGCTCATGTCCTCCTGGCCCAGGGGGCCTCACCTGGGACAAGTTCTCCAAACTGATCTAAAGGCACTGAAGATTTCCCTTATCTATTTCAACCCTCCACACTCCTACACCTCAACCACTTGGTTCCCTCAGTGGGAGCAATGATCTGTGGACAGAATAATAACTACCCACAAGCATCTCTACACAGGTTGCCTCATTTAATGTTCACATTTTCTCTGCAAGGTAGGTGGTAGTGCACCGATTTTACAGCTGAATACACTGGAGCTCAGAGACTGGTCAATCAGCCAAAGACAGGGTGAAGACTCAGCCTGGCCTACTGGACACTAAAGCCTGTGGATTTCCAGTGTGCTACCCTGCATTACACCTGGTGGAACTCGAGACAACACAGTCAGCAGCGCTCCTCTCAGCCAGCCTCTAGAATGTGTCTGGAAGCCAAGTGTCTGAGGCGCACTCTAGCCATCAGCTAAGAGACTCTGCCAGTTGTGCATTTGCAGGATGGTGGGATGTGAGGGAGGCTTTCCTCTCGACCTCCCCACTCTGTCCCCACAGGGAGGAGCAGGGTAGGGCTCTTAGGGTGTGGGGGACACAAGGGTAGCATTTTGGCTTTGGAACTGACCCAGGAAGAGAGTACCCTGCCCTAGCCAGACCTAGCTGATCCTGCCTGGACTATGGGTAAGAGGCTGAGAGAAGGTAGCTGAGAGGATGGAGAAGTCCAGAACCCAAGCTCCGAGGATGCCTCAGTTGTGCTTGCTATGTAAGAATGGCTGCAGGTAGGGCAGCCTTCCAGGGAATGGTGGTCCTCCATGTGCCCTTGCCTCTGACCTTGGTGGGCACCGGAGCTGGGGTAATCATAGTGAGCCTGCTGCTACCAGTGACAGATCCTGTTCCTTTCCTGGTGCTTGGCTGCAGAGGCCAGAGTGGGGCAGGACAGGCTTTGGCCAGCAGGTGGGGGTGCTGCGGCTCTCGGGGTCACATTGGTGCAGCTGGCAGCTGGGCGAAGCTGGTTGGAGCCCCCTCCTGTTTGCGCCTTCGCTCTTTTACTGCTGCTAGCAGACGGAGCGGAGAGCATGAAGGCTGAGACTTGTTCCCATCCCAGCAGAAATCAGGTCAGCAAGGGACTTGCGCGAGTGGGAATCAGTTCCACACATTTCCCCAGATGCTATTCAGCATGTAGAGAGTGGGATCTGACCCATAGAAGATGCCCCTGCTACCCTCTGTCATCATCCCAGGCACAGGCTTCTTCCTCCCAACTTTCCATCCCTTGCAGGCTGATGGCTGGTACCAAGCACCCATGTGCTGGCTCATCCTATGGTGGCCCAGTGGCACCCACAGTAACGGTGGCTTGGCACAGTGGGTCCACATAGCCATAGAGAAGCTCCTGTTTCTCTCCACAGCTCCCCAGACCTTCCAACTTGCAAGGTTCCTTCCACCCAGGCCCCCCAACCAAAGTGCGTACCTCTCGGCTGTCCTCCCGGTTGGAAGAGAACAACAAAAATTCAATTACCGGTACCTTTTCTTTTAGCCTTCGCCGCAGCCTGTCTTTGGAGGACTGAAGCAGGGTAATTTTGGGCCGCTCCCCAATGCGTTCGGGAATAATACTGTCTTTATGCTTTGTCTCAGCCTCTGGCCCCCCTGGCATCAGTGTGGGTAGCCTCTCAGATGTTGGCAGGGCGGAGGCATCAGGGCTTCGAGGGGGCTCAAGGCCACTGTGCTCGGTGTCCCGTGGGGTGTCCTCCGGTTTGGGGCTCTCGATGGTCACGGTCTCTTTGGCATTGCGGTGGGCGCCTGCCTCCCCCTTGTCGCCTGGTGGGTGCTTCACATTGCTGTGGTGCCAGCGCCGGTTCTGGCTGTAGCCGTGGTGGGTGGGCCTCCCTGAGGCATGGGGCACTGGGCCTCCTTGATAGGACTTCTGGTGGTCCCTGCTGTGTTTGGCACTGCCTGGCTGGTGGTCACCGTGCTGCTGGGGCTTGTTTCCTCCTGGAGGTCTCTGCTGCCGTCTGCAAACAGAAGGAGAAAGATAGATAGGAGGTCACTGGGTGGCCAGCGAGGGTCGCTGTACCTGAATACTAAGGCAGGAAGTAATGGTTGTGTACATTTATTCATTCTTTCAACAAATACTTGAGAACCTGTTACGTATCAGGTTCTGTTGACAATTAGCCAGACAGGGTCCTTCACTGAAAATCAGTATTTTATTTACTGATTAGAAGATGCATGAACATAGGCACATGGAACAACAGAAATCTCCATCAGAAGATGCAAAGAACCCTCCTCTGCCATCATTTAGACCCCCCAAGCTAGCCTGAAGTGGTCAGAGTGGTCCCTAATCCGACTGGTGTGCTTGTCATGAGAGGAAATTCTTACACAGAGAGACACCAAAGCTGCAGCGTGTGGAGAGAAAGGCGCACGCAAAGATGTAAGCACAGCTATCTACAACCCGGAGAGAGAAGCCTCAGAAGAAACCAGCCCTGCTGACCCCCCCCCCCACCGCCCCCCAGTCTTGGACTTCAGCACCTGGAATTATGAGACCCAAGCTTTTGCTATTTTAGCCACCTAGTTGGTGACACTTCCTTGCAGCAAGCAGCCCTAGAAGACAAAGGCAGACGTGATCTTAAACAAGGTAGTTTTAGGCAAAAATAGGGCTCCTTGTTACTTGACAATACTTTGTAAGCAGAGCACAGCACATGGAACATGTAGAAACTGGGGGCCGAACTGCAAACCCCTGAGTATGTGGATGGGCAGCAGGTGACGGAGGAGTCGGGGAGAAATCCTTAGGACTTCTAGCCTGGGCATGAGGCTACATCCTGCCCCGCACAGCACTCTCTGCCAATTTTTGTGTCACCCTCAGGGTAGCTTTTGTGCCGTCATGTCACAGGCTGTGCAGCTGGAGGACAGGTAGCCATGTGCCCTTCTGAAGTTGGAAAGTGGTGAAGAAACTATGGAAAGATGTCACCTTCCTAAGAATGAGTTCACACCTCCCTCCTGACCTGTCTCAGCACCACAGACCCTCACTGTATTTATAAACAAACTGTACTTATTCACTTTTTAGTCATTGTTCTTTACTCAATTTCAATGTCTGTTTGATAAGTTTTTATATGTGAAAACTTGGGGATATCTTGGGTTGGGGTAAAATGTATTGTTTCTTTCCCACCAAAATTAATTTCATGGAAAAGCTTTGGTGACATGGTAACTTGTTGACATGGTTTTGAGGAAATTAAAATAGTTAAGTAAGGGATAAAGGCATAATCATTTTTTAGTTTCCATCAAAAATGGAAAATGGTAACTTATAACCCAAAAATGGTAACTTATAACTCACTGTATATTAGAAGTAGAAAAAAAAGGGGAAAAAAGTAGAAATTAATAAGAGCTTAGGGGAGATTTGACAATTCTTTTCAAAAGCCGCTAAAACATGCAACCACTGAATTCTGCAGTTCTACCTGTGGTAATGAATCCAAACGAAATGATCAAAATTGTATGCAGGGATTTCAGCACGGTGATCTTTAGCACAATGAAAACTGCATACAGAGTAATTAAGGCTGAAGCAACCACGGCCACTCTTACTTAAGGAAGGGTGGTGTCATTTAAGACCAGTATTTCTATGTGTAGAAAAATCTGGGAGGACAGAGTTAGCCACTAAAATGTTATCAGTGGCTATCTTTGGGAGATGAGCTGTGGATTTTTTCTTTTATGTTTTCTTTACTTTTTCTAGATGACCTTGTTTTTTAAATTAAACTTTTTATTGAGAGAAAGTTGTACATTTACATGCACTTTAAGAAATGCTACACAGAGATCCTTGTGCCTTTTAACCAATTTCTGCTCATGGTAAAATCTTTCAAAAACCGCAGTACAGTAACACATGGGGATACCTACACTGACACAGGTATGACGCAGGACATTCTCAGCACAAGACCCCTCCTCTTGGCCTTTCACAGTCATACCTGTTTCCATCCGCCACCACCACCCTGCCCTTCCTGGCCACCCCTCACCCACTCTCCATGTCTACGATGTTGCCATTTTGAGAATGCTGTGATGAGTGGGAGCCTATGTTTTTGAGATTGGCTTTTTCATTCCATCAGGCTCCCTGGAGATGCACCCTGGCTGCTGAGTGTGACCAAGTGCTCCTTTTGGTTGCTGAGTGGTATTCCACTTGAGGGTGTACCACAGTTGTTTATCCACATGTGGAAGGGCAGCTGGGGCATCTGGGTAGTTTTTGGTTTGGGGAAACTATGCATCAAGTGGCTCTGGTTTATTTTTTTAGTTTAATGACAGAAAAATAATTCAAAACAGGGTAATAATTGGAGGGTAACAATGGTTAATGCAATGTATATTGTTATCTTTAAACTAGTTACTCAGAGTACAAGGTATGGGCATTTAATTGTTCAAACAATACTAGCACAAACCTTTCTTTTCAATGAACTAAGAGAAATTAGTAGTATAACTATCTCTCTCTCTCACACACACACACACACACACACACACACACACACACACACACTCTCTTTTCATTTCCCTGGGATAAGTGCCCAGCCTTGCCACAGCTAGATTCTAAGGTAGGTGCGTATCTCTTTTTTCAAACTCTTAAACAGCTTTCTGGAGACACGGTACCACTTAACCACCTCAGCAGCAATGCAGGAAGGTTTTCAGCCATTAGTAAGTGATTTTTGCTTTTGTCTCTCTTTCGCTCTATGTTTGGGATGCTAGTGACGTGCATGTTAAGACTTTTGTCACAGTGCCCAGGCTCCTGTAACTTAATTCCTTCCCCTCTGGTCTTATTTTTCTCTGTTCTTTGTATTGGGTAATTTCTACTCTGTTCTCGCCTATTCTCTTTCCTTTGTCCCTCCAACTTAGCACAGGGCTTATTCACAGGGTTTTTATTTTTATTTTTTCATAGGGTTTTTAATTTAACTTGTAAGTTTCCATTTGGTTCTTTTGCATTTCTCCTACTACTTTTCCAAGATTCATTTTTTTTTTTTTTTCATGTTTCAAATATATTGTAGTTAGGGGCCGGGGAGATGGCTCAGTGGAATAAGCACTTCCCTGGCAAGTGCAAGGGCCTGAGTTCAATCCCCAGTTCTGCAAACAAAACAAAACAACAACAACAACCAAAAAACAAAACAAAACAAAACAAACAAACAAACAAAAAACCAAACAAATATATTGTAGTTGCTCCTTCAAGTGTTGTTTTTTTTTTTTAAATAATGGCTGCTTTACAGTTTTTGTTGGGTAATCCTAAAACATCTATGTTCTTGGTACTGGCATCTATCAATTGTCTTCCTTCCAGTTTGGGGTCTTTCTAGTTTTTGGTGTGACAAGTGGTGTTCACTTGGGATCTGGACATTCGGTATTACGCACAGATCCTGGATTTAATTCTACTTACTATCTTAGTTGGTCTCCTCTAACCTTGCTTCAGTCAGTCATGGAGACTGGGGGGCTAGCCTTGTTAGTTCCCAGTGGGGTACAAGTCTTATGTTCCTCAGTGGGTCATCCCTGACACTAAAAGAAGTTCCCCAGGGCTACTGGGAAGGAGTAGGGGTTCAGCTCTCCACTGAGGCTCCACTCACACTGCAGCAGCAGGCACTGCCTCTGATACCATCAGAGAGGCGGGGCACCCCCTGTTTGTGGAGTGGGGCTGGCACTCACTACTCTCCAGGTAGGCTCTGCTGATGCAGGAGAGGAGCTCATCATTAACCACACAGATGAACACCCCAACTCTCCTTACTTAGTCTTGCCGATACCAGCCTGGCAGGGGTGTCTTGTCACTATTTGAGGGGAGTCTATGCCCCACTACGAGCCTTCATTGGAGTGCAGGATGGAGCTGTAGTTTTCCTGGGCTTTGGGCTGGAGGAAAGTGGTTGTACTCTGAAATGCTCCATTTTGCTAGACTACCTTTTGCTGGTCCCCTGGCTAGACTGAGCAGGCTTTTCTTGTTGGGGTAGGGTTTTTTTTTTTTTTTTTAATTGTTGCCTGCTCCTCATAGTATTGCTGGGTTTCTTGTCTCTTTAGCTCCAGGTCTGCAATGTATGAAGCCAAGAAGAAAGTTCAAGCAACTTACCATAGCTCCATGGGTCCCTGGTCTGCTTGCTTTCTTCTTCCCACCTTTTAGATTCTTCTGATATTTGTTTGGGTATATAATGCCCAGAAGTTTTAGGTATCTGTAGTTATTTTAATAATTTAGGTGTCATTATAAACATATTATGGAAGGTGGTATACTGAAATGAATCCTGAAGACTTGGTGTCCCTGGGTCCAAGGAGGCCTGGGTGGTGTTCCTGTTCTTGCCATGGCCAATTCTGTTGGGTTCTGATGGACAGTTCTGGGCAGATGGAAGAGGCAGCCCCCCTTTGCCAAAACAGCCCTGTGCACACACACCCTGGCATCTCTGCTGTATTTAATCTCGCTTCCCAGGGTTTAACAGTAGAAGCCTCAGGCATTGGTACCTGGGTAGAGCTGAGTCCATCAGTTGAGTGGGGTCCCTGAGTCAGGTCTCACGAAGCAATCCCATCACCAACTGGCACCCAGATGGCTTGGAACAGATGTCTGCGCCAGCTCAGATGGCTACAGCCCTCATGCTGAGGAGCACGAATCAACCAGCCCTGGGAGAGCAGACGGAACCCCAGGAGGGCTGCGGGTGTTGCTCAGTGCTACAGTGGATAGCACGCTCAGGCCCTGGGTTCCACCTTAAGCACTGTCCAAGTGGTGGGCGGGGGCTGGGGGAGCCCATAGACGGCTCCCCACGGTGCCACATGCCTATGATATTTTGTGAAATTTTCCTCCTTTAATTTTTCAATTACTTTCAACTAACTAGTCTTTCTCCTCCTAGTCTCTTTGTTCTTTGAGTGTGAATTATTTTTTGGCCCAGGAGGACACTTGGAAATTCCCTGGCTGATAATGCTCAAGTCTCACAATTTTTGTCATCCTTATTTAGAATTGTTGTGGAGCCTGTAGCTGTGACCCAAGAAATATCCCTGAAGGATGATGGCTGACCAAGTCCTTCCCAGCATC